TGGCCCTAAATCACATTCTGGACTACCTCTATCTTCTAATTTTGTTGTTTTTACTGTTATTGAATTCTTCTGTATAATTTTGTGTGATGAAATGTTGTTCAGAATATAGCCACATAAGATAGATATTTTTTCAATCTGAATATAAACTTTTCCTGGTCCTGGGAGCTTAAGTTGTTTTTTTTTGTGTGTGTCATAGAAAGTACTTAATTGTGTTCTTAATAATAATCCCCTTATTGTTATATGGTGATAACTAGATTTTCAATTTATTAATTAAAGCAAAAGCTCCCCATATTGCATTATTTTTCGTAAGCTGAAGGTACTTAGTAAAGGTAGTATTTCTCTGAAAACAAGTTTTCAGAGTATACATATAGGCCTTGACCTTAATTTGTTTGCAATTAACACCATAAGTTATTTTCTGCCTTTCCAGTTTGCTGTAAGCTCTTTGAGAGTAGGGAACATGCCTCAATCATTATTATATCCAGAATGGCACCTAACAGAGTATTGTAAGAAGCACTCAATAAGACTTGTTGAATGAATATACTGCTGTTATTAACAGATTCATACTATCCTGAAAACATCAACACATTAACAGTTAAGTATTTTGCCAAAAAACCTTCCATGGTGAGACTGTGCCTACAAAGCTAGAATTTTGGCTGCCGTGATGTAGTACAGTAGCTAAGCATGCAGACTCCGGAGTCACGCTGTTTGGGCTCTACTCTGGTCAGCTCCATCGGAAGACCTTGAGTCTGATTAAGTTTCTTGTGCCTCAAGTTTCTTGTCAGTGAAATGAAACTAATCATCTAACTCTTACTTATGAAGTTGAAATAAATTAATATACAAAAGGTATTTAGAATGGGATGTATATAGTTATACAAAAAAGACATTACAGGTTTATTTTTTATTTTAATTACTATGATTAAGATTTAAGGTACCTGCCTCACAAGCAAAAGAGATGCCAGTGATGTAGCTGCTTATCTTTCACGGAAATTTGTGGGGTGTTTTCCAATGAGAGAGCTTGTGGATTGTGCCTTGTCTTACTGAAATTGTTTTAGGAAGCAATCCAATAACCTATAAATAAATGCTATCTATAATTTCACAAAAGGAAGGCAAAAGTTTCCTTATGCAAAAGTTTCACTCAGCAAATGTGTTGGATGTAGTAGTTAGATTTTAACATCTGAGAAACCACCAGGATATCCTGAATCCAGTATATGTTTGATTTGCAAATTGAATAAGAATTCGTAAAATTATTTTATATTATGAACAGAGAGTTACTCTGAAGAATGTAATGTGCATAGTGTATCTGAGCTGGTATACATGACATATTTAGCTCTAATGAAATGTGGCCTAGATACATTAATGTAACAGAGTAGTTTCAGAATTATTTGTTTGTAAGGCTAATTATTCCCACTTTCCAGCTGTTTCTTTGTTCAGAATCTTAGATCCTAGTGGACATATTAACACTATCCGTCTGAATTAAACTCACAGGAAAAACGAAGCTTGACCAAGCCATGCTTCAGACTTGAGAATTGCCAAATGAGCATTTGCTCCAGTTTTTCTGAATGGTAATTGTGAATACATGAGAACAGACTTGCACTCCAAACATATTTTAAAATTGGGAAGGCATTCTGGATAAAAGTACAAGATGGTATTTAATTCTATGAAAAGAGGGTAATCTATGCTTTAGCTCTTAATTTTTCATCAGTTTATATTACCACTTGAATAAGTGACTCACATAGGAAAATGTGTAGTTAAAGTGTATATAAGTTTATTACGGGAACTTCATGTTGATATTTCAAAATGTATAAATACAGTAAGATGCCATTCTTGTTAAAGTAGTTCTGGTACTTCAAAGTATGTAAAGATTACTATGATCAAATCATGTGATAGTGAGATTAAATAATGTATTTGGTAAAAATGTGTGATATAAATATTATTCTCATTTAAATCCTCAAGACTTTTTATTCATTCAGATATCTACCTTCTAAAAACATCTATATGTTTGTATGTACATATAATGTACATATATACATATATACACACACAAACATATTATCTTATAGAACCTAAAGATTCATGGAGTCCTCTAGGTTACACAGAGTGGTAGATCCAAGAAACGGTAAAGCCAAGTCCCTAAAGAGCTGGGCCAGAAAAGGAGAAGCTCTCCAAAATATCTATTAAAAAAACATCAATAGTTTTGTAATGAATTTAAAAACTATACAATATTGTGAAACATCAAGAAAGAGAAATCAGATAATATCAACCCCCTCAATTCATCATCTTTCTTTTTATTTTTTGATTCTTACGTGGAAATCTCCTTAGCCGCTTGGGTGTTGGGGATGGGAAATATGTAAGAGAGAATTCCCCCAATCTATTCTGTGGGAGAATAATTCAAACAAGTTAAAACAGAAGGTTTTGTGCTGCCCTAGCCTGGGCAGGAATGGGTTTACCTGCAACCAACTAGTTGTCAATTCTTCTGCAGGACTGGCGGCCTTGGGACACGTTCCCGAAAAAGTGGGTGGGAAGAGCTTAGTCATGACCAATCCAGTCTGGATTCCAAAGCACAGGCAGAGATCATGGCATTCCATCATCACAGAGAAGAGACAAGAAAATGAGGCTGGATTTGTCTGCGGAAACTGGACACTTCTAGAAGAAAACTGGCTAGACTAGTGACACAGTAAATGATCAGTATAGATAGAGCAATAAGTAGACACCCACTGCCTGCAATCAGCTTTTCTGATTTCCATTTCCTTTATGTCACAGCTGTCCAGCATCAACAAAATAATAAAGCATTTTATAGGGGAAAATAGAAAATTGTGGTGTTGTAATATATTGTTTTGTGAATCTCTCTCAAATAAGTGCATATCCAAATCTACAGACTGCTTGAACATACAGGTTTTAAAAAAGCAAACGGTGAAAATCATTTAAAACAGCTTGAGCTTTGCGAAGTTACATATAAGTGGGTCATAAGGAAATGAGATTACAAATCTAATAAGGGAGCCAACTGAAGAAAGCTAATTCTTTTAGAACAAATCATTCCGGTAGATATAAATTTTGAGGTAAAGCAATTAAACTAAAATCTATAAATTGGCATTATGAGACTAATCTGTGAAGATGTTTACAAAAATTGTGACATTCATGAAGGAGAAATTTTGTCAGAGCAAGCAATTAAAGTTGAGAAGCAACCATACGCTGTTTAATTTCCATTATCAAAATATTAGCAATTAGTAGTCATGTAAATGGCGAAATGATAAGGAATCTTGATGAAGATTGACTTCCCTGGAAAACAGGGAAGTATAGTAACAAGTGAAGTGTTCTCACCAAGTAGAAGAGGTTTAGGTCCTCTAGTTGAAAGGTTTTAAATGGCATGCTTTTTGTCTTTGTGAATTTCAATTAGACTCTGCAATGGGCAAGTCAGGAAGGGCATATTAATGACAGGGGAGAAAGCTGGGTGGTGTTCCATGCTTCACAGAGCTGGCCCTACAGGACAGCAAATGTTTGTTTAGGTTGTAGCATATTAAATGCTTATTTAGAAGTTGGTGATTAATAGGTTAAAAAGCACGGCTTGAAATATTTATGACGTAGGTTTTACTTTCCTCACATAATCTTCAAAGCAAAGCCAACATTTATGTAGATTAGTGCTGTTGTTATGAAAACTGCACCATCTAGGAAAAACACCTGAATTTTTGGTTCATAGCTAATACAATTGAACTGTTTAGCACAGATGGACTCTGCACGTAATATAACAGAAACATGTCAGCATGCTCTGAAACGGTGAAAGTGCCCAGCGTTTACAGGGACTTCTCATAGAAATAAACACTGCTCTGCGTTGCCTTAGTAGGATAACACTGTCTTACGTGCCCTATGAAAAGGACAATGTCTGTTGTTCAAGTTGCACATTTGGATTTTACCGCCCCACGTAAAATAGAAGAGTCAGATCAAATACACAATGTTGAAAATGTACGATGGAGGCTGGAATTACAACAGGTCACCCTTTTACAGGAAAAAAAAATAGCCCTGATGGGGGGGAAACCTCACTGTGCCCCTTTTCCAACCCAGGGGGAAAACCGAAAATCGCAGGGGTAGTAGAAACACAGCAGGTCCAGTTTTGCTTTGGGAAAATGTGAACTTTTTAGAGTTGTTGATGAGTTTGATCACCAACTAGGGAGGAAAGGATGCCTGTGAAAGAGATCGGGGAGGAGAATTACTGAGAGTGTGTAGGAGGTTTCCTAAGTCGTATAATTTGCAAATGGACTTTACTGACCGGCTCCAGGGGAGTCTCCAACCCCCAGAGCTTTGAAGAGAAATCGGTCCTGCTGGCCAGGAGTGTGAAGGAATGAGTGATATATGCAGATGGCTCAGGCAATCAAAGAAACTTCCCGCTGTCTGACTCCACGAATATCGGTTGAACTTGGTCCTGTGTGGGTGTGCTGATGACAAAGTAAAGGCGTGATTAGTCCCCTCGCCCTCCAGCGGGAGCGGTACCTCTTTACCTCTGCTCCGCAGCCACGTAGCTCCAGAGCCAGGGGATGTTAAGGGCAGGCGGCAGGGCGCGGACCCGGGGACCCAGGGACGCACAGACACCCACCGGCAGTCCTCTAGGAACCTCTGGGCCTCCCGGGAGCCCCGGCGGGCCGCCTCGGGGAGCAGCCCCGGAGGTGCGAGGGCTCGGCTCCTCCCGCGCAGTGTGCAGCGCTCCGGGCGCACCGGAGCTCCCGCCGCCTGCCGCCTGCCGGGGCTGTGAGGCTGCAGGTGCCCTGGGGGCGGCTGCTTGGGCTCCGGGAGCCGGTGGGGGTCCCTGCACGTCCTGAAACCTCGGTAGCCCTCCTCCCGGGCCTGGCTCCTCCTCCTTCTCCAGGCTTGGGGCTCGTGCCCGCCACAGCCCGCGCGCACCGCGCCTCCGCTCGCGTCCCCCACCCCACCCCACCCGGCCCCGCCCGCCAGCCCGCCCGCTCCTGCCAACGCTTCCCCCTCCTCCTCCTCTTCCTCCTCCTCCGCCCGTCACCGCCACTACGGACGCCTTCGCCTCCTTCTACTCCTGGCGCTGCCGCCACCGCTCCTCGCGCTCCTCCCCGACTGCCACCAGCCCTTCGCTCCCCGCTCTCTCCGCGCTCGGCTGCTGCAGTCAGTATCTCTGGCGCTCTCTTCTCTCTCAAGTTTCCTATCTGCTCAAGATCAGGGCAAAGGGAGGAAAACACCCAGTTCTGCTTGTTGTTTCAGGTAAGGTCGCACACGTTAGTCCCAACAGGGACCCTTTCCATTTGCCTCTGCCCCCCGTGCATGCTAAATCTCCTCCACTCTCCTTGCTTCCTGGAAACCCAGGAGGTTCAGGTCGTCCCCACCTCCCCAGCCCATCTAAAAAATAATTTCGGTGCCCATCGTCAGAAGCATATTTACAAGTACAATAAGCTCCGAGACACCCTCCCGGCAGCACGTTAGCCTGGCTCTTTTTCAGTCTTCAACTTTGCACGCTGTGCTTGGCGAGCCTGCCGGCCAGGGCTGATCCGGAGCCTGGCGCTCCTGCCGGGGTTGTGGTCCTCCGCTCCGCGAACAGCTGTCAAACGCCGCGTTTCGCAGCAGTTGAACCGAACCCCTCTGCCTGCAAGATGTGATGTTAGGCAATTGTAGACAGACAGGAACGGGGATGCTTATATTTTATTTTACAGAGAGTGAAGAAGTGAAGAGGCGAGGACTGCAGTTCACTGTAATGAAAAGAATAATAATAATAAAAAAGTGGGCAGCTGTCCCCCTTGCTTTTCTCGCCAATGTCGCGGAGGTGGTCTTGGTCGAGGGGATGGTGGCATGAAGTGCCCATCTCTCCTCCCCCTTTTCACTCTCTCCACCAACCCATTCTCTTCTCTAGCTCATATGTCAGTTCAGGGTCCCGTGTGTTATTATTGCATGTCTGTGTGTGAGCACAAAACAGTGTTTGCTGACGATGGGGCTGGGGGAAGTTACTGGCAGAGTAAAATGTGATTATTTGATCATCTGGCTGTCAAAAAAAAAAAAAGGAAAGAAAAAAAAACTTACCCAATCATCATGTCCTAACTTCCTCCCGGGAATAACCTCCATAGCGTTAACTTCAATTTCCAGTCTTTTGGGCTATTTGGATAGTGGGACTGAATTTAATTTTTAGTGTATTTTGGTTTTCTTCTATGGCTTTACAATGAGCAGCGATGAAGACGAAACTGAACATCTACAACATGCAGTTACTGCTTCTTGTTTTCTTGATGTGGGACCCAGCCAGGTGAGACATTTATGGACTCTTTTAATTCAGGTTAAAGGTGTGTTTCTCGAATGGCATCAGGGCAGGGGTGGCTTTTGATAAGCCAGAGTATTTTTGAAGAGCTATTTCTAATGAAAAAAGATTGTACCAAGAAACTGAACTATGAAGTGTCAGAGATGGTAAAAAGTTCACTGCTTCTTGCTTTTAGCTATAAATGCAACAGTGAACAGAAATAATTTTCTTAAAAGATCACCAGAGGAAACAATGTCCTTCGAATGGCATGTTCTTGCAAGGAATTGAAGTGATTAATTTATATGCACTTATGATAACACCAAAATTCAATAATCAACAGTCTTCCTTTAAGCCAAATGAAAAAGCTTGAACTAAAATAATTTGTGTGCTAACTTATTTTTTTTGCCCCCCCCCCTTTTAAAACCCATCTTGGCTCTTTTAGTCATAATAGAAGCCTAAATGATATGTGAGCCTTAAACCTCTAGGTGGAGGTAGTATACAACTTCACAGTTACAAACAATAAAATAAAAGCTTGATTTATTAATCAACTTTTTATATTACTGATTTAGAGATCTTTTATTCTTAAAATGGTTACCATCATAAAGAGTACTGATTTTAAGCCTGTAACTATTTTTTTTGCGTATGTTCTACAGACATGAAATAATTCTTATTCCTTGCAACAACTTTATCATAGTTGTAGCCTTTTTATGATTTTATCACCAATGGACATCTTTTATTTATTGCCTTCAGAATATGTTTTTAAAATACCAGGGACTAAAAATACAAGACTCATAAGACTATTCATGAAACTATTCCTTTCTTTTTTTAGAGAAACAAGTCTTTATTATATGCTTATTTCCCTTTTAATTTTTCATTTCCCTGCCCAAACAATTGTCAAATTGTGAACATATTGTCAAATATGAACATATTTTCTAGAACTGAGAAGAAATCCCTTTAGAAAGTCTCATTTTAAGTGGAGAAAAATCTTGTTTAACATCTTAGTACTGACATTAGAAAGAAACTGTGATATGTGATTAAAAAACACTTTTGACTAAAAATCTCTATGTGGAACTTTATGACTATTTTAGTGATTGATTTTAAAATTACCTTAAGGTTACATAGAAACTGGAGGGTATGAACTAATTTGCTTGCATAATTTTTAAATGCTTATCTTCATATAGGTGTTTTAATATTTTCTCTGCTTTCAAGACAGTATTTTAAGTTGGTTACCCATTTAGAATGTATTGTGACTATTTTTAGCTACTAGCTGTATAATCATTTAAATGCAAATGGGCTGTGTCAGTGATATTTTACACAATACAACTTGATCAGAATGCAGATTACACAGAATCTTATTTTAAAGGAGTGAACAAACCATGGTCAATTTATAATCAGTGAAAATCCTCCGTGCTTAACTATATCTCCCTATATTAATTTTCTATTCTATACTTGGCCAGTAATGCTCATGCCAGTATTTTATTCTATTATATAAAATGTTCTCTCTCTCTGTCTGTCTCTCTCTCTCTCTCTCCTTCTCCCCCGCCCCCCTTCTCTCTCTCTCTCTTCTGGCTAGTAATTTAAATCTCTGAATCATTCTGGGGAAAAAGTGGCAGTGAAAAGGGACATTCTGTTTTATACATCCAGTTTCTTTTGCACCAATTTGCTGGATATCACAAAATTAGGTCTCCAGCTTTTGATGGAGAAATAATGGAGAAAATCACTGTTTCTAACCCTCTTTCTGGTGATATTTTGAGATGACTTGTTCTGTCTGCAGATTTCTTACAAAAGTAGCTGGGGCGTGTGAATTTTAAGTGACCCTTGTGGCTGTCCTCTGGGTCAGTGAGGAGGGGTTTCCTCCAAGGCTGTCTGCAGCTGTATATGTGCTGCGGATCCTTTCAGAGCCCACCTCCACTTCCTGGCTACACTGACGCCCGCCTGGCACACAGCCAGTGGAGTTCCCCTGATGTCTATATTGCACTTGGCCATTGGGTGGAGGTATACCCAAAGTAAGGAAATCATCTTGGCTTAAAAGAGAAAAAGACATAAAGAGAAAAACATTTGTGAGGAAAACAGAGGAATTTAGTGCCTCCAAGGATGCAATTTTCCCCCCAATTTATATTCGAATCACTGAAGATTTATTTCAGGAGACCCTTTGATTATTGTAGGTTTCTAAATGCAGAATAACATTCCAATTAGTGTCTGCATGTGATCATCTACAATCATAGCATATTGTATGGAATGGGCTTTAGAAAAAAAAAGGGATAGTCCACACACAATGCTAAATGGTAGCTATCTGAAATGATTTTGACATTAAACTTTCTAATAATCTGGTATTTAGTATCCATTTTCCATGGCATACTTATGTTCCCCATAAACATATTAGTATTTATAGAAATGAAGGAAAGAAAAAAATGGGTTGCATTGATAGTTTAGGGGGACTTAAAATTCAAATTAAGAAATAAGTGCATGTTGGCACTTTTGAAACACACACATGTGTATATATATATCAGCTTGTAAAATTATCTGTTTAGGTTGGTGCTGGCTGGCATCCAAGAAGATGAGGCTAAAAATAACATTACCATCTTTACAAGAATTCTAGACAGACTTCTGGATGGTTACGATAATCGGCTTAGACCAGGACTGGGAGGTAAAAATAGTTTTATTTCTTTTTGAACTCTCACAAAATAATGCCTTTAGAAGTTAAGGTTAATATTTATATTTTAATATATTTGATATAGAACTGCATTGCTGTATATTAAAAACCATAGATAATAGAAGGTAAAGTACATGAAATAAACATTTTCTGTGATTCTTTTTGTACACACTAAATATATTTAAAATACCTTCACAAAAGCCTAGACTTTCTGCATGAATAGTTTTTAAATTAGTTCGTTTGTAAACTTAGAATATGTAAAGGAGTAACATTACTGGGCAGAAATGCTTTTGTAACATCTTTGGTTTTCTTCATCACATTTTACAAATGCCTGTTTTAACATCAGTACACATTTGCAAAAATGAGTTACATAAATGAAAGAGTATCTGGGTTGTATTTCAACACATACTCTTTTTAGGATTCTGTGATGCATTTTATTATACAGCATGTGACATTTCTAAAATGTAGCACAGGTTGGCATTCTTGAGACTTTCAAAGGCATTTTAGAGATACATTAGCCACAGGCCTAAATTTACTGGGCTGTGGCACAGTTTGACTTCAAATTTAAACATTTGTTTTTGAATCAGAAAAACAATCTATTTTTATTTATTAAAGTGAAGAAAATTAGGCTTGGTTAATATGTTAAATTTTAATTATCCTTCAGTATAGCTGGATGATAACCTTAGGAGATCAGGTGAAAGTAGGGTAAATTTATAATTCATTAAAGGATTCAGAGTCAAAACATGGTAACTCATTACTTCTAACATGTGATATATGTCTGAATGCATGCACTGATCACGTGCATGTTATACTTATTAAGATGTTCAGTTTAACAATTAATTCAACATTGATACAATTTAGTTAAATGTGATGTGAATCAAAGATTTTTATAGTCTGATTATTACCAAGTTGGCAACCTAACAATATTAAATTGCTTGAAAAGCAATTGATTACATGCCTGGATGTTTTTGTAAATACTTTCTTTGACAAATGTAGGTAGTTGTTAATTTTATATATATTTAGCAATTGTATGGTTTGGATTATCTAAGAATCAGAAAAAGTCAGAAGAAACACAACTTGTTTTTAAATAAATAATATACCATTTAATTGCTATTAGTTTTTTACTTGTTTCCTGAATAGCACCTTGCATTTTAAGAGGGAAGCACTGGGAAAGAATAATGTTCAGAAAGATGATACATTTTTCTCTTAAAAAGAATTCAATTGATTCATCTACACTTAGTTTTCTATAAGGGAAAATTGAAAGGAACAGAATATTTCCTTAGTAATTAATATGTCTAGTGTGCATGAATATAAGGTATTACAGTCCACACTAGCATGTCTGAGAGTGACCTATTGCCAAACTCATCTAACAAAAATATGCCTGGCATAAAGCTTTCTCAATGCAGCATGGTGGTTCGAGAGGTACATTGTACAAAGGCAGATGTTTTCCTAAGCCGTAGACTGTATTATTATTATTTTTAAATTATGTACTGTACAAAATGAAAAATATTTGAGCCAGACCTTGGATTTTGTCTCTGAGGCTTTAGGAAAAATAATTACACTGTGTTTGTTTGGTGGGTAGCAGAAACTATCTGCTGCAGGATGTGGGTTTTGCCATTTATCTCTTTATATTTCTTTTGTAATATCTCTTACATTCATTTTTATTTCCATTGCTAGGATTCAAATATAAATCCTTGTCACCATATTATTTGTGTTAATGCAATAGCTTAAATGGATATTCTTGCCTAATGTATTTGTTCCCCAAAATGTATCTGACATTATTCATATGCTACTATTAGTAGTCTTCTTTTCTTCTTATAATTCTTTCATGTGTCACTCTCTTCTCTTGATCAGATACCTTCAGTGGCTCCCTATTGCCTTCAGTGGAATGCAGTGAGGAGCAGTGGAAGGAATATGAGCCTCGGAGGCTAGTAGATCTAGATTAGAGTTTCTGTCCTACCCATACACAAAAGTGTACCTTGGCCAGATAATCTCTGTTTCTTTTATTTAAAATAGCCATGATATAGCTCCCTTTCTCCCTCATAGGGCTGACAAGAGGATTATATAAACAAAAATGCACACAAAGTGTGTGCCACCCACTGGCAGTTCAACAAAGACCTATTTCCATCTCTCCTCCCCTAGATTTCCAAGTTGCCAGGCAAGGTTTTCTGCAATCTACTTCTCTGCCTTCACTTGTTGTTTGCCCTCTCAGCCACTCTGCACTTCAGATGCATCTATTCATTTTCCCTTGACAATCCAGTCACTTCTCCCTCGGCCTTTGATCACATTATCAGCTCTCATTGGAATTCTTCTTTATCCTTCTAATCTAAATCTTACCTTTCCTATAAAGATCACCTCAACACGGTCCACTTTAGCAAAGATTTTTCTTAACTGAACTGAAGTGCCCAGATTCAATTTTCTCTCCATTACATTTCTTTAGTAGTAGTTGGCTCTATATCACATTTGGTACTTATTATGTGCTATCTTGGATTTTTTTATTATCTTTTTATGTGTTTCTTGTTACTTTAACTAGATCGCAAGCTCATTGAAGCAAGATATTATATCATAAATTGTGTGTACTCTTAGCAACTAAATATTGATTTGCATATTGTGGACATAAAATAAATGTTGATGGCTTGATTAACTTTTCTATGACCAGTTAATCATCTATAAAATGGAGCTACTCATATCTGGCTGTCCATGTTGAAATGATATGTTGAGCATCATGCTGCAGGATTGTAGTGTTGCTTAGTGAAGAGACCTAACTTTAGAGTGGAGAATTTAGATAAAATCCTGGTTCTGTTACTGACGAATCCTACAACCTTTGAATACTAGCCCCTCTGGGTCCACATTTGTCCTGTATAACATAGGATCACTAACAGTAATATTCTTAAAGTGTTGATGAATCAAATACAATGATATATGCAAATTAGCACAGTGACTAGATATAGTAGAGAGTTACTAAATAACAATAACTAAAAGACTAAATGTACTGTTGTAAATTTAAATTATTATTATGATTACCTCTGTAATTAAAGTTCTTTGCCTGGATATCCATGTCATTTCAAATAGAAAGTTCAGGGAAATTACTTGTTTCCTTATGTCCGAGAAAGTAATAAGGTAAAATTGGTTTGATTCAATTTAAATATATCCAAGCAAACATCACTGTTGATGAATAATTTGGATAATTGATGTCAATTATTATTTTCTTTCCTTTGTGACTTTAGTATAAATAAGTACATAAGAAAGATCAATCAGTTTTGGACAACAAGTTAGAAAAATAGTTTATTTCACCTGGTCCTGCCACTTATTATGTTTTGTTTTATCCTAGACAAGTTGCTCAGAGATCCTGAGATTTGGTATTTTCTTTGGAAAAGTGGGAATGATTCTATTTTATTCTGAGAGAAGTGGGGTAAATTGGGATTCATACATATAACAAAAGTTATACAGTATATTGAGTGATAAAATTTTAAGACATTTAATAGTTAACAATAGATCCCCTTTAAACCTGTAGTAAGATCGTGCCAAACCAAGTGTTCAAATCCCTGCAATGGTTTGCACTTCATTCCCAACAAAGCTGAGACTCCCTGCAGTGGCCACCGGTGCCCAGTGTGGTCTGCCTCTCTGTGCTTCCTCTGACTTCACCTCCCGCAACTCTCCTTGCTGATGCCCTTGCAGTCACACTGCCTTCCTTTCTGTTCTTTGAACTCACTAGGACACTCCTTGGAGCCTTTTCTGTGGATATCCATTGATCTTATCTCCTCAATGAAGCCTACCAAATAAATACAAAGTAATTTATATCTTTATTAATGTTATGTCACCCTCTTATTTTTGACTCTTTTCTACAACATAGGCTTATTGAAGTAAGGAATTTTAGCCAGGGATTGTCGTTTGGTTCCCCAGCGTCTAGAATAGTGATGGGTGCACGGTAGGCACTCAAATACTTCTTGAATAAATTTTAATTTTATTTATTCTATTTTATTTTATTGTAGTGTTCTACCAGGAAAAGAATCAACTATAGAAGTTATTCTTAAAATAAATGGAGCAATTGTCATTTAATTACCACATTAAACTTTCACTGTTAATATCAACATATTTAAGGCTGAGTTCTTAGTGAATTGGAATAATTATTACACCAATTACTCAAACTCTTTTTTTAAAAGATTTTATTTATTTTATTTTTAGACAGAGGAGAAGGGAGGGAGAAAGAGAGGGGAAGAAACATCAATGTGTAGCTGCCTCTTGCACATCCCCTAGTGGGGACCTGGCCTGCAACTCAGGCACATGCCCAGACTGGGAATCAAACTAGTGACCCTTTGGTTCTCAGGTTTGTGCTCAATCCACTAAGCCACACCAGCCAGGGTCAATTACTCAAACAGTTGATTTAATGTTAGATGTAATCCTGTCATGAATTAACTGTGATTTTGGGTGATTAATTTATCCCAACTCTGACTTAATTTTCTCATCTGTGAAATGAAAGGAGAAGTTCTACTTATTTGGTTTATATCTCACAGGGATATTGTGGGCTCAAGTAAGTTAAAAGTCTTAAGAATGCATAATGTGATGTAACACATATAGGTATTAGTATTGTTAGGAATAGCAGAGAAGAGTTCTTCAAGAACATCATCTTAAGAGGTAGTATCCTTTAAAGTCATGGCCAGGAAATATGGGGATCTCCTGTGCATTTGTAGGCTTACTTCCTCGTGAGCCTGGAAGCCTGACGTGGGTCTTCCTTGATACCTTATTTGCCAAGACCACACATTCAGATCAGCTAGAACTAATACTTGAATCAATGTTTCTTTTTGTCTTTATTTTAGTCATTGGAGCTAACAATTCATGGTGTCAGCCTTTGATTTTTATATTTCATAAGAGGCTTTCCAATGGGTAACTGAATGAAGGCAGCGACATTTACATTTTGGACCAACTTTATGGGGTCATTGGAAAAATGAATGTGTAGACAGGTCTTGTATCTTTTGACAGCTAATATCCATGAT